TTTTTTTTGTCATTTTATGATAATAAATTCAAGGTGTGATTGCATTATTAAAGTTGTTTTTTGATCTCTGAAATCTTATTTATTGGGATTAAACAGGCCTATTGAATAATTGATTTTGTTTTTCAGGTTTCACTGCAGTTTTTCTTTGATGAACCATCTTCTGTCCATGGAAGCACTTGAAATTCTTTAGAAAAGGAGGGAGATTTGATGAAGAAAAGGGCACAGTGCACAGCTTTCGTACAATGTTCCAACCTGGGACTGTAAAAACAAACAAAAAAAATTAAATGTTGTTGTTGATATAATCAAGCTAAATTTTTGAAATAAAAAAAAAAACATTTGAACAAAAGAAATTAAAAAAACATGTTTGACCAACATGCTTTTTTGTATTGTATGATGAATTTTTTTTTTTTAAGTGACACAGGAATAAGAAAATATATTACTTTTACAAACTTAGATGCATTGAGTCTTGAGAAAAAAAGTTGTAAAATAAAGTAGCCTTTTTTGTGACTTATCTTCAAGACCAGTGCAGCAATCTAAGACATGACATTAAACTTGGAGTTTTGAATGGTGCTGTCCCCTGGTGGGAGTTTGAATATCTCACTGCTATCTTATTTATTTATTTATTTATTTATTTATTTATTTGTTATTTTTTTTGTTATTTTTATAAAAACTGCAAGGCACAGGTACAGCTTGTGTTTTAAACAGCTTTTGCTTTTGAGTCCTTTAGTCTTTCATGCAGGCTTTGCTTTTTAGTACAGAATGACAACAGCATTTATGAGCATTTTAGGATCAACTACATGCACTTAGGCCACAAACTGTTTTTTTATTTTTTTGTAAGTTGACATTTTCACAAGAAACATATATTAATATTATTTTCACAGCAGGGTTGGTAGGATATAAAAAAGAAAGGGAGTATGGACTCGCCAGAGCCTAAGGATCATAGATAGAGAAACTGCTGAGAAAATTTTAAAAACTCATCTCAGGGGCAGAACCAGAGTTATTTTCTGACAGTCTTCCAAATTATATTTGTTGATCCATCCTCCTTTTTTGACCATCTTCTGAAAAAAAAAAAAAAAAAAGAAAAGATACGCGTCAATGTTAACTTGAAAATCTGACTGTCTTCCTGAAGACCCAGAAGATGGCTTCAATCCGCCCCTGTATCCTTTCATTTTGCTTGAAGTTAATTATTGGCCACATACGTACTGAGTAGTAGACAGCATGCGTTTTCTGATGCATAGTTACTGTAATGAAGTTGATGGAATTTAAATTATCCGTCTTAAAACGGACGATTTGTTATGGTAATTTTTATAATCATTGTTGTTATTATTGTTTTTCAATGTTTAAGTTATTGTCTCAAGGTTGTTTTAATACTTTTTTAAAAGTGAATACTTACATGAGGTACGTGCGAATCATATGTAAGACAAAAGGCATGTAAGACAAAAGGCCAGTAACAGAGCGTCTTATTTATCCAAGTGTCATCGAATAAAATGTACAACTTGCTTTTTTGCATTTGTTGATAATTGGGACTTATTTTATTGCACGTATGTGAAGCAAATGATGTGCAGAGCAATATGTAAAGCACAATTAAAATTAGCTTAAACCCATTTTAAAAGGTCCAAGAAATAAGTTGCATACCTCATATAGATTAAAATAAACATGAGCACACAGGTTGCAGCTAATGCTTTGTGTTTTTATTCACAGTTGCCCTATTTCTGACATTTTGTACAGTACATGTGTGTAAAAGTAAAAAAAATGAAATATTTAACAAATAGTACCAGAGCCATTGCTCAAAAAAAATAATTTATAAAGAAATTAAGTTTCAAAGCTTTTGTTTTTGAAATTAATTTAGAAGAACAGTACTCCAGACATTCAGAATAATCATGCTATACCAATATCGACAACTATAAAGTAAACCGCAGTTCTTTTATAAAAGCACTAATGAGAAATTACTCATGCATTTTACCAAGAATTGGTCTTGTCTTGCAATCCCAGCATGCCCAGCTGACGTGGAAGCCGCCATATTGACTTGACTACCTGGCACTGGCCTACATGACGAGAATTTAACTGCACTGCAGTCGTAATCAAGTAATCACGAGGTATTAAGCAGTAGTCCACGGGAATAAAAATAGATAATACACCGAAGATGAAGTTCTTTGCTCCACTTGCGTTGCTGTGGCATATTTCTGCGGCTTTCTATCTTCCCGGGCTTGCCCCTGTCAACTACTGCGAAAAAGTGGATGCTGAACAGTCAACATGTCAGGTAAACTACGTGATTGTTTCTCACATCTCTTCTTCACCCTTACCGTTAAGTAACCAGTTGAATAAACCGTGACTGTATTTCACATTGGGCCAATTTCATTTAGCAGTAAAACTGAGTGGACGAGTTTGTAGAATTATCCAATCCTCAGGAAAATGAGGGGCGGAAAATGAGCGATTCTAATACGATGGAGCAGAGTCGTAGGGGAAGACAGGCGAGGGTGGGTGTGGTATGCTAAGGGTCAAACAGTTATTAAGTATGGGAAGTTGTTTTTGGCCCCTTTTACATAGAGTGGGTTGTCATGGTTCTAACATGACTCCATGCTACTTTTTTTTGTTTGCAAACTCCCTTTCAGGAGACCAAAAGTTCCAATCAGAATTAAGAAGGTATACTGATGCCTTTTTAGTGGGCTGGTTTAGTACGATGACTTTTCTTGTAATTTACTTTTATGTTTTGGTTGGTCTCTTAAACCGGAGCAGCACAAAAGTCTGTCCTGCTCATCAGGATAAGGGTAGTTATCACAAGGGTAGTTATCACAAGGGTAGTTATCACAAGGGTAGTTATCACAAGGGTAGTTATCACGCACCGTGTCATGAATGTCTTCAGGGCAACGTTCATGCTTGGTATGTACGTCTCTAAATATAGGCCAAGAATTTCATTTGATGTAGCCCATAGGATGAAGTGTCTATAAATCATTTTGTGGGAGTTTTGTCTTTCACAAATTACAGGTTCATACATTCTTGGTGTCCTTGAGGACATATGTTGTGTGGAGTAGTCTTTCATCCACTGGATATTAAGTAATTGTATTGAATTTAATTATAGAACATCTTCTGGCCTACTAATACCTATTTCATATTACACATAAAAGTAATTTTTTAAACATTGTACAGTGACACTGAAACGTCAGACAAAAAGTTAACAATTTACAAAGCTTCTTCAGTAGAAATGAAATTGTGTGATGGCAATGCAGTGGAAATCATACATTCTGATTTGAGAAAGATTAAGGTTGGTTGCACTTGTTAACCAATTAATCAAATTCACCTGACTAAATGGTACATTATACTAATCTTTTCGTATGTTTTATTTTATATAGGTGGAGATACCTGTCATGGTAAATCGTCTGGACTCAGTGGAGAATATCATTCCTTATGAATATGATGCGTATGTATATTTTGCCATTGTATTGTCACGTAAAGAGGCACCTTTTCTTTGTGAGAGAGAAAGAGGTTCAGATTTGAAGTAAAAGTGTTCAAAGTATAGATGTAAGATTCTTTATCTTAATGCAGCCCATTTACTAACTCAAAGTTTTGATGAGTGCTGAAAAATAAAAATACATATTTATTTTAATTTTTATAAGATAATTGTGTGTTAATAACAGTACAATGTCTGTGTATTGTAATGTAGTGTATTTTTGTGTTGTATTCTGTGAAAAACAGAACATTTTTGGCGTGTTTTGATGATACTGTAAGTCTTGTTGTTGTGGAGAACACCGCTAACTGAAATATTAATTTTTGCCAAAGTGAAAAAACCCTTTAGTCACTTTCAAGAAATTTGATATACAGGAGTGAGGTAAGGTAACATACCACATACAAATATCTATCAACAATCCTATTAATAAAAATTAATTTGAAAAAAAATTTAATATTTTCAGGTTTGATTTTTGCTCATCCGAGAGTGGATCTCGACAGACGGAAAATCTCGGCCAGGTGGTGTTTGGAGAACGCATCACAAATTCACCATATAAGGTACAGATGTTGCTTCTTGGTTGACGGGTGTTCCAACACTGACCAGTTGGTTTGTCTCAGTTCATCTGTTTTTCATTTTAAAACTCTTATCAACTCCAGGTAGATATGAGAAATTGTGAATCTCTGATGTCAGTCAGAACTGAAAATATATAATTAGTTTTTTCCTACGCTTCACCCAAACACTTCAGGTAAACATGTCAATAACACAGTTTTATATTTCTTAAGCCTTAGGCATCAACACTGTCTCCACATCCAATGCCAGTAAAATTTGACCTGACCACCTGAAGTTTGTAAATTTCTTCAGTGAGTGACCACAACCTCTGCTTTGGGCTAGTAGATTCCTTGTTGGGCTGAAGAAAAAAGTTGGCTAAGGCCCCATTCCCAAAGACACCATCTATGTAGATTGATCCAACTCTGCGGGGACTCTTGCTGAGTGCAACCAATTTAACAGATTAACACATGGACTCTTGCTGAGTGCAACCAATTTAACAGATTAACACATGGACTCTTGCTGAGTGCAACCAATTTAACATATTAACACTCCTTCCTCCTTGCTTTGAGCAGAATACAGTAAAGCAGGTGATTCTACGAGCACGTTGGAAGAGGAGGCGTGTTATTCAGTCAAGGTGATTGCACTCAGCGAGAGTCCCCGCAGGGTTTGATTGATATATGTAGACCGAAGTCTATGAGAATGGGTGTCCAAAATATTTTGGCACATGTCTGTTTAATAATCAGCCTTTTGATTAAAGATTGAAAACTCAAGTGCATTCAGTGGAAAAAACACAAAACAAGTACACAAAAAACACACACATAAAACAAATTATACAAAATAGACTAAAAGGACTGTATATATTGGCATGATCTATCTTTTCTAAATGCCCTCATGATATTCATACATCAAGGGGGTTTATATACAACCTATACTGTAGTGAATTATTAAAATCCACCTGTGCTCACTTGAATAATGCAGTAGCTTAGTGAAACTGAGCTTATAATATTAGAATATATAATCTCACATATTTCTAGGCAGCGTTATGTTGTACAGGTATCGAGGACAGGTATTTGCACAGACAAATAAATAAGCTTAATTTTGTATTTTTTGAGGAAAGACCTTGTTCTGTATTCCCATATAAACTATTTTCACATAGATTAGATATATTCATTTCAGGTTTAAGGAATACATTATGTAGGTTGAATGCATACAATCCCGGATTTTTGTGCAAAATTAAATTTTTCTTTGAAAAAAGCACCCATTATTCCCTTCCAGCCTTAGGGACAAAGAGGAAAATCATGAAAATCTGACATATTTTTAAGAACTGTTAAAATTCATAATCTAAGTGATGATTCAAATTAACCAAATAGTATTAAATTATGGTGAAAAGATTACAGTCTTCCATAGACATGTGAATTGTGCAGCTTTAAAACCGGGCTCCTGATTTGCACAGCTGTGGGAGGGGTTGAAAGCCATGCAGTTAGAATACCAGAGAGAAGGAAGACTATGGTGGCACAGTATAAATAATATATGACATACCAAGTTTCTGTGCCAAAGGATTGCTAAGTGAAGAAATGATGGACTCCTAGGTGAAGAAGTCATGAATATATATCTGAAGTGACTGAAATTTAGCCTTCTAATGTGATATCAGTGGATACCTACTCCTCGTACACGCGCGTGCTCACACACACACATGCATGTGCATACACAAACATGCATATATGCACACACACACATATGCACACACAGCGTCATCCATCATCTATGTTTCTTTAGCTGAGTGACAAATTCAGGCCTGTCGTATGAAAAAAGGGACAGGTACAATCTGTATTGCCCATTAAAATTGAATATGATTGCATGAACAGTTAAAAATTTAGTACCAGTGCAAAATGGCAAGTTAACCATGTGAATATGAATGAAACTGAGATCATGATTTTACTGGTGTTTTTTTAATTTGTTTATGGATTTCCTAAACTTAGAGTATGTTTGTGTTGCAGTTCACTTTCAAGCAAAATGAGAAGTGTAAAGAAGTCTGTGTGAAAAAATACCCAAAAGGGGCCAAGGACAACAAATCTAAGTTGGATATGCTGAGGAAGGGCATCAAACAAAACTACCAGCATCACTGGTGAGCATAACTAACACTCTCTCACT